CCCCCCCATACTTTTTAAGCGACGTTTGGCAAAGCAGGGAAGTACAGTTGGCCATCGGTGATCCGTCCTGTGGGAACATTGCCCCGTCCTCTCGAAAACGCGTCTTCAATGGCCTGNAATGCCCTGGGGCGGTTCCCCCCCCGCCGCCGCCGCCGCCGCGCTCGCCTACGCGCAGATCCCCGGCGACCCTCCCTTGAGCCTCGTCGCAGCGTGGGCGGTGCACCCCGAGTGCCTGGGGCCTGACAGTCCCGAGTCCCTCCGCAGGTTTTTCGGGGTCTTCTACCGCCTGGTTAATATCCCGTTGTCGTCGCCACAGCCGTCGCCAGGAAAGACGAGGGCCGGAGGCGGGGGCGCCGCAGACGGGGACGGGGGGGGCGCAGCGGTGGCGTCCCCCACCGCGAGCGGTTCGTTGGCGCCGTCTGATTCGCACCTGTGGGAAACGTCAGATTCGGATCGTGGTTCCTCCGGGGATGAGCTAGAGGGGGTGGGAGGGCGGAGTGGTGGAGGTGGTGAGTCGGGGTGTTGTAGCGGTATTAGTGTTCGGTGTAAGCGCCGAGAGGGACTGGCGCCCCCTGGCGGGGATGTTCGTGATGTGAGACGTATGTCATCTGTGGTTGTTTGTTGTTTTGACGACAACATATTGTAGCACTGCCGTTGATGTCATGATTTTGTTGCTCGGGAAGGACTACGCTACATTCAGCGGCAACAAGTGCTCAGGCTACAGTGTAAGACGATGTTCCCGTTGGTTCCTTTGGTGCCACGCTCGGTGCCTCCCGTGTTGATATACGGCATGCTTGCAGGTTTGGCAAACGGGGGCGATAAGAACAAGATCAACAACGTTTCAACTGAGGAAACACCGGCCAGAAATCAGCGGTTAGTTACTCGCAATACCGCGACGCGGGTGCAAAGCTCGTCGAACCAAGAAACCCCCTTTGTTTTTTCGTTGAGGCGCTGTGCACATGAGGTGGTTTCAGCGTGGGCCCGTTCTTTCGTTTCAAAATATTGACAACCGGTTGGGAAAATTGCGTGGTTGGGTTTCTTCGCCTGTTTGAGTTGATGTGGCCTTTCTCTTGTGTCGTTCAAAGAGAAACATGGGGCGAATGATGGACGAGAAGTACGCTTCTCATTCTAACCATTCGCGGCCATGGTCGGCTCCGGCTTCTCCTCTGAGCGGTAAACCTGTTCCGCTCTGTGCGGTAAACATGTTGCGCGAAACATACCTTGGTCCCGTTAACACGCACAGCACACGCACGTACTCGCTACCACAGCAGCGGCACCGTTAAAGCAGCAGCAGACGGGGTGCCGGGGCAAGGTGATCAGCAGATAAAGCTAGCGGTGAGCCTTCTCGACGGTCCGCAGGTGGTGGCGGAGGCACTGCCCGAGTCCGGGAGTTCTCTACTGGGACATGAGGTGGGCACCTCGGATGAGCGGGGTGTTTTGATACAGCCGTATTGTTGTTGGGTCTCACATGTTGTCATCTTCTTTAGAGCCGTGTAGTTGTCCCGCAATTCGTTTAGTTGACGGGTTGGCTACCGAATGGCGGAGGGAAAAAATCAGGGCTGGTAGCAGCGTGCGTGAATGAGGCGGCGTGGTCTTTCAGTCGGTTTGAATGTTGTCTTCACCGACCACTATTGTTCGTTTATTTGAAGGTCCGGGGACAGCCGCCGCGATTGGTCTCGTGAGAGTTAAGTCTAGCTGGCTCGGCAGAGTAGGTTGGGTCTGGAGGAGATCTAGCCAAGACTGCATGTGATTTACGTCAGCTGAATCCCCTCTTTACAGGGCCGTAACTCTGAATTGGCGGCTAGCCTAAACCTGTGACGGTGTACGAGTTGGGATGTTTCCTATCATTTGTGTTACACAACTCGGACCAGCGATGATGTGCAACCTGCATCAGTTGTCGCTCAAGACGACCTGCTGCGTGGACTTGAGTACCATCGACGATACATGACACCAAATGTCAACTTTGGCGAGTCGGGACACAGCAGCATGTTGTTAGCTCGGGTCAGCCAGTCCCTGTGGCAGCAGCGATGCAGCAAGGCGACGCACGGTTTGCCACCTGATCTCTCCATTTTAGTCAAACCTGCATGTTGTACACAACGCAGCTCGTTCGGTCGCCCTTGGTCGCCACACATTTGTCGCCGCCATGCACCAGGCCCGGCTCCCGTCTTCCGTACTGTCGGTATGGCGCTGGCAGACACATACCTCCTGTTCCCCGCGTTGTTGCACCGCGCCTTGTGTCGCCGTGTACGCTCCAGGCATCGCTACGGTATTTCCGCGGGGAGAGGTACCTGGAAGTGGACGTGGACCTGGCATCTTCTTCGGCATCTTCGCGGGTATGAGCAAGAAGGACGCCGTGCCATCGCTTTTTTTTTTTACCGTTTCCAAGTACCACATGGCATCCGGTCGGGTCAGGTGGTCGTTGCTTATCATAGAAACACACAGAGAAGGATATATCGCATCTAAAAAATGCTGCCAGTACGTGATGTCGAGTCTTCTCCTTTTCCAAGTACATTGCACCGGTAGACTGGACCCTGTCGCCTGATCTCCTCCGCCCCCCCCCCTGCCCGGGTGCCCAATGGCTATAGAAGGCGTGTTCGGGATTCGGGATTACATCCTGCCATGTGCAGACGGAGGTATTGTCGTTGGTCAACCGCTCAGCGCGGTTCATGCTATGTTAACCGTGCACGTACACACCGCGGAGGATCGCCCGGACTCGTACAGCATGGTCGTGTCGACGCCCGAACATGAGTCTGAGGGATTTCTGTTGATCAGCCGGTTAGCGCGGTCGATGCTAAGTCGCGAAACACACGTGTGAAACTTGAACAGGTTACGTCCCTCTGCCGAGAGCACGCCAAGAGCCTTTCCCTGGAGGTGGGCTTGATCCTGCACGGAGAATTGGAAAGTGAACTGCCCGAGAGCGTGCTGGGGGTTCTGAGAATAGATAAGCTCGACCCTCAGGACACGACGCGCCATCGACTCCTGTGGGGGTCTTGATGGGTGGCTGTGCAACCCCCCGCCTCCAACAGTCGGCGCGCGTGTACGGAGCACGCAACTCCTGAAGGACGATTGCGCGCCGCCGTTCGTCATAAGGAAAAAGTAGGGGAGGACGACTCAGTCACGAAGGGGTAGCCTTCATCGGACACGACAATGTAGAAAGTATGGACTGGAAGTGAACGTCGCTTGTGACTTGCAGAATGCTGCAGCTGTGTCTTGGAAGAACGAGGTATCGAAACCAGGAGGATGACACTCAAGTCGAGGGAAATGCTACAAATTTTGATGCGAACTTGAAGCCGGGGTCGGGCAGGACAGGAAGATTAGACTTGAGCAAACTAGGACGGTGAAGCCGCGGTGGGTTTGGGTGCTGACATACAAGCGTATTTTACGAAGCTTGTCGGCACGAAAACGCTCGGGGCGTGGAAAGGTATGGCTTGGTGCGTCCTGTGTACGCGTTGGGTGTGACGACGGTAGGAGGATGGGGAACAGCAGTAGCTGTGTCTACGCAAGTCTTGTGTATTTATGCATACATAGCGCGCTGATATTTCTCCCCGAGTTTACCCTCCACACAGACGAGTTTTGTTATTGCACTGGGACATACGCGGGTGGAGCCGACGGCTTCAGCATTTTTGACGGAAGAACTTGGCCTCGTCCTAAGCGGACGTTTGCATCAGTCCCAACGACTGGTCATGTATGCCCCGTCTTTTTGCCGGTGTGGTGCGCATCGTGCAGATCTCTTGTTTCGCAACGATGTGCGGTCCGCTTATTCTTTGAGATCTATCTGGAGTTTCACCCGCGATGGAGGCGTCGAGACAAACGGTTCGCCATTTTTTTGGAAGTTCCTTGAACAACCTACGAGAAAGATTCCCTGCCTATTTAGTGCGGCGGCATTGGCAAACACAAGCGGCTCGAAGGTCATGCTGTGCACCTCGCTGTGCGTATTTCGTAGGCTCCGTTTTGACGATTGGCGTGCTACCGTATTTATTGCGCGTATCCAGCACACGTCAGAATCGGCATCGGAACTTCGGATAGTTGCTTCACCACGACAGCAGCGCAGATTTGCAGCGTCGGCCAAACCTCGTTTGACACATTTAGTGCAGAGATATAGGTGATGTGTATACATTGTAGGTGGAGGTGACGATGTCCGGTAACCTAACGTAATAATGCATTTGTGGCTCCGAAGGTTGTAGAATCGATCCCAGTCGTCGCCAATTCTTGCAAAGGCTGTAGAAGATATTAGCCCTCCAGGTTGGTTGTACGGTAGATTTGCTCAGGTAACGAGCACACGAGCTACAGGGTGTATTGTTGCACATGCTCTAGACCGTAGGTCGAAACGTTGATGGGTTTGCTCGGTATCAAAGGGCATGTTCGAGAGGCGAAATAAAAAAGAGTCATTACACGATGGTGTGCCAAGGGGATGAATACACCTAATCGCGACAGCAGTATCTTCCATGAATTGAGCCATTCAATTTGGGCGCCAGAGAGCGCTTTCCGTTTGTCAAATAGCGCTTTCAAATCCACAGCGTTCTGCAACCTTGCCCTGACGTTGTGTCTCCATGTACGCGCGCATCACCACGGGTTCGTGCTAGCTGAAGGTGAACCGCAACCTTCGCCGACACGTCTCAGCCGACTCATTCTTATGTGGCTGGTATCGGCTTTCTTCGATGGGGTTGGGTGGTATCGCGGCAACAGAGAGATAGCAAGCAATGGGGCTTGCCAACAAGGACGCAAGAAACACCAGCACCACCAGTTGCTTTGAGCGAACGAACGAGCATCCGCGCCGGCCAAGCAACCACGCCTGTTCTTGCGGGCTTTTGCTTGAAGTGAACCTTACTAACGACTTGCGGGTCGGCACACGGAAGCTTGCTGATGAGTCGAATCGCTGAAACACGCCTGCCTACGGCATGAACAGGCTGCCCTCCTTACTTCAACAACTACAAAGACCTTCCCAGAACGACGCAAGAACGGCAACAAAAGGCGGCTGGCGGTTAAACGCGGAGCACTCCCGTGCCGAATCAAAACGATGTACCTGGTCGACACCCGTGTAATTACTCGATCTGTCTTCACAGCAACAGAGCCATGCCAAAATTGATAACAGTCCACCCTCAGCCCACCCGCTACGACATAGTGCAACGCCGAAACACAGAGTCTGCTTGACCGTTCTCAATCATACATAGAAAGCCCACGATCGTCCGGAAAACGGTCTCCGTCTCCAGCTCCGATACTACCTCCATCAAACCGCGGAAGCCTTTCGCATGTTCCGGGAGTGCATTTTGCCGGGCTAACGTGGCCAAGGGCATCTTCATCGCTGTCGGCGAGAAGTCGGCATCAAATGCTAACGACCACATCAAGGNATGAACAAAAATTAAATTTCACGCGCAGACTCGCGAACGACAGCAGCGTACAACCAATGACAACAAAAATCAAGACTGCTTGGGAGCATCACTCGCCTGCGTTGTGCTTAGCCTTGATGTGGTCGTTAGCATTTGATGCCGACTTCTCGCCGACAGCGATGAAGATGCCCTTGGCCACGTTCGCCCGGCAAAATGCACTCCCGGAACATGCGAAAGACCACTTGACGGAGGTCTTGTGTTTCACCTTGACGCCGTTCTTGTATATGTTCGAGCTCGATCGGTCGGACTTGGGCACAATCTCGTGACTGTCTGGAGGCACGAAGTCCTCGATCGCATTTGTAACCTGCTCACCTTCCTTTGTTAGTTCAGTAGTACATCGAGAACGGGCGATTGTTAGAAAAAGAAAAAGAAAATCACGAACGACGCGAAAGACAAGCGTGAACAGCAGGCATGTACCAGTCAAATGCAGGGCGGTGTGTGCCTGGTTGCAAGGCCGTGTGTGCGTGGTTGTTGTGTTTCGCGTTTCACGTACCTCCACCGCAGCTCCGTCAACGTCCACAGTCACTGGCGCTGCTGCTGCCGACTGCCCAGCTTCTCCCACGGCAGGGTTTTCGGGATGCGGACCAGCAGCATTTGCTTGTGCATTTGCTTGTGCATTTGCTTGTGCATTTGCTTGGACATTTGTAGCTGACATGGTAACATCCAGCCCGTGTGTTTATATTATTAACATCGACCGCGCTAAACGGCTGACCAATGAAAACATGTCAGTCTCAGTGCGGTTGAAAACACAAATCACTTTTGTCTGCCATGAACTGGAACCCCGTGAGGGTGTGTGTGCGTGTGTGTGGCCCGTGCCGTGGGCCCGTGGGCTGGATTTTGGAGGTAATTGGTTTCAACTGACCAACTCTGACAACTGCTTACTGTTCCAGGCTGAAGAGGTCAAATCCAACGGTACTCAAGTATCTCCGCTCTCACAATTTATTTGCCCGCTAGCGACTGTTTGGTTCCAATCAACTACTTTATTTATTGTTATGTTGAAAAGATAAAAAACGAGAGCAACTATTTGATAGCAATCAACTACTTTCCAGGAATGTTGAAGCAAATATTTAGTTGAGTGTAATCAACTACTCTCCCTTCTTCCCCTCGCTCCTCGACAAGCTTTTGCTTAGACATGGGTTGTAG